TCGCCCGGTTCCCGTCCCGTTTCGGCGGGGAGTCTATGTTGCAAGCTAGTTCTTGCTTTACCAGACTTTAAGCCCACACAAGCTACGTGCCAATAGGACAGGCCAATCTTCTGGTTGAGGTGTCCCTGCAAGGTGACCGGCAGATAGGGGCAGGGAAAGTGTGACCTGCGGGCCCGCTGCACTTCGGCCGGCCTCTCCAGCTGCCGATACCACAATGCATTTCCAGCTGCCGATACCACAATGCAACAATTGCCAAGCCGCGCAGCACACTGGCAGCTGCAGCAGCTTGCTGCTAGTGGCAGCAACACGCAGCAGCAACTCACGCCGCGCTGCAGCTCCGCCTTTGACGGCACGGGCAGCGGGTTGGGCGGCTCCAAGGCAGGCGGCAGGTCCTGATGCCTCATGTCCTGCAGGAATGCAACGCAAGAACGGCAGGCAGGTCAGGTCAGATACATATTTATAATTCCTGCTGCGACCACTGTTATGCAACTTCAAGTAAAAGATATAGTGTATGTGGCACGTGAAAAGGTACGTGGCACGCGAAGCGAGCAAACCAACGGCAGAGGGCACTGAGGCAGCAAGGGAAAATCAGCAGCCACCCGCACCTCGCCTAGGTCCTGCTTGTCGATTCAGCATGTGGCGCGAATCGCGCCACCTGCCATCGGCCTCGTCAAAGCGCTGCACTCCAGGCAGGCAGGAGGAGGCATCAATTCAGGGCCACCAAATAGGGAGGGCAGGGGACCTTTCAGTTTGGCAGCGGCAGGATCTGACTCCACCTCCAGAAGCCATACACATGTGCCGCAGGTGCTCACCAGTGCATCGCGTAGTGTCCTCAGTCGGTCCAGCAGGGCCCGCTTGTTCAGCAGACGTGTCTTGGAGGGTGGTAACAGCATTGCGGCGCTGGCATCCAGCATCAGCTGGCACAGTGGCTTGCCCAGGATCTGGTAAGCCACCTGGGCCTGCATCCAAGCAGGCCAGCAGGAGGGCAATACAGCCAGAGCCAGAGCAGGGATTGCAGCGCAGAAGCTGCCAGCTGTCGCAAACAGGCCCAGCTGGTCTGCAGGTCTAGGCGATCTGCGGCACAGTGCAAAACAGCAGGATCCTGGCAAGTACTGCTGGCAGCTGCCATGGCCTCGCGCCCATGCAGCAATCACGTCTTCGCTGCAGCACTCAAGCCCCCGCAAGTGCCAGCAGGTGCTCACCCCGTAGCCGGCGGGCAGCTCGGCCAGCCGGCGGCTCAGCGTGTGCAGCACCAGGTCTGCGGCGGCGGGGTTGCGCTTGGCGACCAGCGTGTCTTTCAGCAGCGCCACCACGCGGCTGTACGCCATGCATGCGTTTGACGAGAGCAAGGCCTGCAATTGGAGCGTGGAGGCAGAGCAGGCATGCAGGGGAGGGGCGCGGGTCAGCGCCGAAAGGAGAGTAGGAAAGCGCGGCAGCCCTGCTGGGAGGCAGGAGGCCCCCCCAGGGAGGCCAGGGGGCGCACCCAGGCCCGCAACCGCGAGCTGCCGACTTGCGCACTGCATGCCGCTGGCAGCCAGCGCGGGCTCAGGCCGCCAGCGCACCCACCCCTGCTCACCAGCAGCACATCTGACTTGGCCTCAACCAGCGCCAGCGGCTCATTCAGGCTGGCGGAGTCCACCATGAACTCCACCAGCTGCTCGGGCAGCGCCGCCGGCAGCTCATCAAAGAAGTCGGGGAACCACGCAGAGGCGGCGCCCAGGAACTGGATCACGGCCTGCGAGGCGCGCGGGGAAGGGCAGCGGCGGGATTGCTTGAGGCCGAGGGGCCAGGGCGAGGGCGGCCGGCCCACCAAAGCAGGGCAGGGAGTACATAGCAGGGGGCAGTGAGCGCCGCGCCGGGCAGGCAGGCCAGGGAAAGTCAGCAGCAGGCCTGCCGGCATGCAGACATACGTCTGTCACGGCGGGCGGCACGTCGCCAGTCTTTGCTGCCGCGAAGAAGATGCCGGGCAGCTCTTCTGCCCCTCGCTTCCTGCAGGGCGGGGCAGGTGGGGGTGGGGTGGTGGGGGGGGGCAGGGAGACGGGCGGGCACAGCAAGGTTGCACGGGCCAGGAGGCAGGGGCGAGGATTTCCATGTGGCGGGAAACTCAGGGAGCAGCCTTGGACCAGCTGCCAGCCCACATGGCAACGTGCAGCGCGCACTGGCAGGCCACTCACAGCTTGGGGAAGACGCCCATGCCCAGCGCGGCGCCCTCTGAGGAGCCCTCCTCCTGGCTGGCCAGGGCGGTCAACTCGTGCAGCGCCGCCACCTGCTGGTCGGGGGCGCCCCGCAGGTCCTGCAGGCAGGGGGAAGGGAGGCCGAGCACTGGAGCAGCACCACTGCAGTGCATCAGTGCAGCAGAGCTCTGCTGTGGCCGCATCGACGCAACAGACTGCAGGCCCCACTCACGCGCAGAAGCTGCATGATGGGGGCGGCGGGCCGCTTGGCGGCGCCTTGGCTCGCCTCGGCCGGGGCCCCAGCGGCCCCAGCGGCGTCCTCCAGCTGCAGAGGAGACTCAGAAGTCGTCAGCATCGAAGTGGGGCGGCCGTGCGGGCAGGTCAGTGCGGGCACCAGCGGTTGGACTCAGCTGCTGCCCAGCCTCCAGGCGCTGCCAGCCCAGGGAGGCAGGGTGGGGGCAGATCGCAGGGCCCCACCAGAGCACGCTCCCAGGCATAGCTGGCCTCACTGGGGCCACCCATGGAGCCTGTGCTGCGGCTCCCAGCTCTCAAGGCGCTGCAGCCCAGCCCACGGGCCCAGTCAGCCCTATGCTGCACAGCTGCGACACCCACCAACCACCAGAGCCGGTCCTCACCTTGCGTTTATCAGCTTGCTGCATTCTGGTGCAGCCACAGGCTGTGATGCGCGGCAATGGGTGGCAGGACGACGTAGGAGAGGGGAGTTGGTGAGGCCGCCACGCCGCCGGCGGTCCTTTCCACCGACGTCCTTTCCAACCCGCCACTTGCAGCCATCTTGCTCTGGCCCCAAGACATGTATGAAGCCATTCGTGCTGGTGTTGCGACAGGAAGACAGATCATGAGATCAGTGCCTGCACCCCACAGACAGCTGCACCCATGCCCGGCAGCCGCAGCCTGCGGGCGGGAGCGTGTCCAAGACTGGCGGGCCGGCGCTTCCATGCGGGCGCTGCCCGCCGGTTCCCGGCCGCCGTGGCCGCTACCATCGGTAGCTATCACGGCAGCGGCATGATCAACATACCACCGCTCTTCCCAGTCACAGCTTGCTGAGCTCTTTCCCAGGAGCAGGTGCGTCACGGCATCTCTGATGCCGCTCGCAGCGGAGCGAAAGTCAAGGCCCAACTATTGGTTCACAACGAACGGCAGCGCTGCCGCAGGGGCACGGTTGCCAGGACGAGGGAATGAACATGGAAGCTTGGCATGCGAGGGACTGGAAGGTGGGAGGAGCTGCAGGCTGGCAGGTGGGGCCAGCGCAAGGCGGCCAGCCAGCTGCACCGCTCGCCGCAATGTGCAATTCACAGGGCGCTGTGGGCCCACCGCCTGTTCACCGCTCCATGGGAACCACACTGGTAGCGTGGGGGCACGCGCCTAGTGGCGGTCTGGCGGGTACACCCTCACCAGCGCCCCCGGCGCGTTGTACCCACCAGTCCTGGGCGCACCCTCCTTATCAAACAGAATGGTGTTGGTGAGGTTGCCTGCCGGCGTGCTGGGCCCGCCAGGTGCCCACTGCGCCCACTTGGGGATCGTCCACAGCTTGGAGAAGAAAGGAAGCGAGCCGGGCGTCAGGCTGCGCGCAGCAGGCGGCAGCAGGGAGCGGTACGGGTGAAGGAAGGGAGGTGCAGCCACGCACATGCATGCGTGCTGGGCCGGCAGCCCAGTGGCAATTGGGGAGACGAGGAGGCACCTGCCGGCACCGGCAACGAGCCCGCCCGCCAGCCACACCCAGCCGCGCCCAGCCAGATGCAGCGCACCGGAAGTTTCCGCCCGCAGGGTTCACCAGCTGCGGCTGCTGCGTCTGGTTGTTGATGTCGTTGTTGGCCCGCACGAAATCCTTGTTGCAGGTAGGGTGGCTGTTGCGGCAGCCACCCGACTGCACAGCCACAGGGCGCACGGACAGGAGGGTCACACGCTGGGCACCTCGCGCACTCATTGTTGGTTCCTTATCCTTCCTACTGTTCAGTTTGAGTTTCGTTTTACCTGCCAGCCAGGCTCGTCGTGGATCCCCAGGTTGTCATCCACAGGTCCATCCCAAATCACGTTGCCCCTGCAGATGAGCCGTGGGAGGCACCGCTGGAGTGGAGACTGAAGAGGGCGGGCAGAGGGCGAGCCTGCGTGTGCTGCTCCCGTGCCACACCAGTGGTGCATGCACAGCCGGGCGAGGAGCAGGCACCCGAGCAAACGGCGTGTTTTCTGGCGTGCCCTGCACCCTGCTGCCGCTGACACACAGTGAGCTGCCAGGAGGCCAAAGCCCTGTCCTCACCTGATGACCAACCCTTTGTCTGCTGACACCGTGGTGGGCAGGCCAGCGGGGAGCGTGCAGGGCCCCTCGGAGTATTCATGGCAGTAGGGCAGGGGCTCCAAAACGTAAAAGGCGCCCACCTACGGGCAGGCAGCAGCAGCGACAGTTGGCGAGGCCAGATGCAGCGCAGGCGCGGCAGGCACACAGCAAGCTGGCAGCTGCATAGGGCGCAATGCATGGGGCTCTGTGCGATGCAACAGCAAGGCCGCATGCTTCGTCGCTCACTCCGGTTTGGTAGCCTGCACCGCAAAGTGGAAGAGGATGGGCTTGTGGGCTGGGCGCCAGCGGTGCACCAGATGCAACAGCTCACTGCAGCACATTCCACACACACAGCAGCACCATGTTGTCCGAGCGGCGTGCCAGGCTGGCGCGGCCTCTGCCCACCTGGCGGCTGCACGGCCAGGTTGTTTGCGATGATCACGTTTCTGTTGGGGATGCTGATCTGGGACCACTCGGCCTGGCCGCCCGGCTGGCCCCAGCCTCCCGCCGCCATGTAGGCGGTGCACTGCTCGGGGATGTCGTCTGCGGGAAGGCACGGCAGGCAGTGCGGGTGTGACCTGATGTTAGCGCATGGGCTCTACACTCGCCCACAGGGTAGGCGGTTGTCGGGCGGCCCACGTCGGTGCCGGGCAACCTGCAGAGGGGGCAGCCGCCTGCCCCACCAGGGCCGCCATGCCGCTCACCGTCGCAGCTGCGCAGTCCCTGCCGGATGCTGAAGAGGGAGGAGCCGTCGCTGCCCACGCGATACAGGGTGTTGTGGGCCACCAGGATGTTGTACCTGCAAGGAAGCCAGTGAGAAGGAGCGGCTGGGCGGGAGTTGGCTGGCAGACGTAAGCCCAGCAGTCTGAGCCCTCGGCCGCTGGAGCAGCTAAGCCCAGGCGGCGCCCCGCGCGCATGTGTGGCTCCTGTGCTGAGCTCCGGTGCAGGCAGCGCGCCCACCCTCCATACACCGAGATGGCGGGAGCCTCGTCGAGGTCATAGATGATGTTATTGTAGATCTGCAGGAGGGTGGGCGCCCTGCTTGGTGATGCCTCTCGGGAGGAAAGCATGTTCCATGTGTGCAAGGAAAGGACTGGCATGGAGATTCAAGCGCCGCGCGAGCCCCTGGCCTGCCCCCCCCC